CCTACAAAGCTTAGGAATGCTATTCTAAACTTTTATGGAGAAACAAAATAACACTGCCACCATAAAATGACCCTAGAACTGAAATGGAATCTCTGCTTCTGGGCTTTACCTAAACCATGCAAAATAGTTATTTCTTCCATACTTAAAACTTCTTAGGTTATTTCACAATCCATGACCTCTACATCCATTATCTAAAAGGTGTTGTGAGAAAAGCCACATCCATTCCAATTTTTAGACATGGTTTCTATTACCATGATCAAATTTAAGAAAGGAAAGAACTGCAGAAGATACATACCTATTGCAGGTAATAGTAGGAGCTGTAGTAGTGGTGGTAGTAGTAGTACCTCTGGTATTCAAGTTAACCATTTTTCTCCAATAACTTTGGGTTTTCTACCATCTGCTATAAACAGCTCTATTTTGCACAATGCTATTTTGGCATATCTTGATTGTCCAATGATTCTCACTCAAGTCCGGCCTCACCCTTCTGGCCAGCTCTAATTATTTCTGAGTTCTTCTCTTTTGTCCAAACAAAACAGGTTTTGTATCTTATTCTTCCCTTAATAGCGAATGGGGTTTCAAGTAAATCAGATAAACTGATTTATTGTAGCAAGCTATCTAATATGTTATTTCCTCACAGACTACCACATAAAAGGTGACAAATTGGCTCACAGTCAGGTACCTGTGTGGAATCCAGAACTTAGAATTTCAGCTTTGCTGTTCTTTTTATGCAGGCCCTGGGGAAAACTGGCTCTTACCAGCACAGATGCCTATGATAATTATACCAGTAAGCCAATTTTATCATTAAAATGTGAAGAATAAATTTCTAATAAGAATATAAAACTCATAAATAAGACTTAAAAAAAACTTAAATTTACATTTAATGAGAAAATGAGGATGCATTATTCTTTTCTTCATTTTTTTAGATCAGAAAACTGAGGCTTAGGTTAAGTAATTTACCCAAGGTCTCTACTAGGAAGTGGCAGAGGTTCGATGTGGATCCCTGACTATCTAGCTCCAAAATTCATCCTCTTAACTTCTACGCTATGTTTGCCACCATTTTAATTAAGTCATGTAAGGAAAGCTCATATAATAAAGAGACTTGAATGCCAGGCTGCAGAGTTTGTACTTAATTCTGAAACAGTCTAAAAAGGATTTAAGCTGGGAACAAGTGGTATATTTAAAAGATTAGTTTCATAATGCATTGGAGGAGGAAGGTAATTGAGACATTGATGTAAGCGGTTAAGAGGCGGTGCCAAGACTTTGCTCTCCATTCTGTGCATGTATAAGATCAGCCCAAATAATTTTGAAATTTTGTTGTCAGAAAGGGAATCAAGACTTGTTAATATGAAGAGAAGCTGTGTCTATGCTTTAAAAATAAACTATAACAACAATGGATAATTTATTATCTTGGTTACACTTCCCTCAAAAATAGGATATTCTATCAGAATACATGTTTCAACACTTCTTAGAATTTGGTATCAATTCAACCACAGATTAAATAATATTCATTCAATTAAGTATAATATTTATTTATTCTTTCATTATCAAGAATAATGTACCACCTTCCATGTTGATTTTTCACATGTTAATATAAATATGTAAGGGAATACATCTTTTCTATCTATTTTGGATGAGCTTTATATTCATAGAAGAGCAGAAGGACATTTTAATGATTTTCTACCATCAAAACTCTTTTTACGTATTTTATCTTTTTAAAAAGTAGGAGTTGTATAGATAAGTCTTCTATAAAGACTTCCTGTTGTTTCAGAAAAGGACCAATGCATTCCCATAATTTTTCAAGTTATAGTTTTCAAAAAGCTAAAACATATAAATTTTATACAAATATATAGTGGGCAAATGTCAAAGATTGACATAACTCATTAATAAAGGACTAAGCAGAATTGTAAAGCTGGTCCTAAGGAGGATAGAAAAGATTGTTACATATATAGATAATGAATTACAGACAGAATGCTGAAATAAAATTAAGTTAGTTCTAAAATCAGTTGATGTCCTAAAGGCAAAAAAAAAAAAACATAACCTTCTGGGTTATCTCTTCTACTGGACAAATTATTTGTATTGCCCCTGAACAATAATCATCCACAACTTATCCATTTTTTTAACAATTTAATTAACATCTAATTTCAGGGAGTCTCAGCCTAATCAATAAATAGTAAGTTAAAAAAAATTCTTCTAGAATAATCTTTGAGAGGGACTATTAGAAAATGCCCTATTTTATCACTGAAAGGACATGCAGTTATTCATTTGCCTGATTTTCAAGTCTGAGATAATTTTTCTTAACACCCTCTACCCCATAATAAAAATAGTACTTAAGCTAGTTCTGTGTGTCAGCACTTTGCATGCATTACTTCATTTTAGTTCTTAAAATGATTATCAATAAGCATAAGCCTTCTTATGAAAGTGGTTATTTCCCTGGGAAAAATTCTTATGAGAAAAAACTTGGATAAAAGTTTGAATATTTAAAAAAAGTTATTGCTGTACATAGCCAAATTCATTTCTAAAAAATAACATACCAATTTATACTACTCATGCAGAGTAGTATACTCTGATAATCATGCTGAAAAAGTTGAGCATCAGCATTTTATAAATCAACCAGTTGGTAGATGCAAAATAAAATCTTACTTCAACTTAACTATACAGTATCTGATTAGTAATGAAGGTGACTTTTTAAAGCATGATTTTGTTATTTTCTTTTAAAATTGTTGTTTGCTTATTTTTCTATCTAGGCATTTGTATTCATGGTTTTTATTACTTTCAGCTTTTAATATCTGAGAGACATTAACCCTTTGTTTTTCCCAGTTTTACTGAGGTATAATTGACAAATAAAAATTGTGTATATTTAATGTGGACAAACCCCTTTGTGTTTAATCCTTGCACATCAAAGAGCTTGTCATGAAAAGTATTAATAGTATATTTTATGTGAGTAATAATCATACCCTAAATGAGACTCATTTGTGATAACTTGAAACTCAACATTAGATTATGCTAGTAAAGATGTAAAGTTATTTTCTCTTTTTCCATTAAAACTCTTTTATTAAAAAAATTCAGCACACATACTTATACAAATAATGTTAATAAGGGTGGAGAACTGAAACTACAGGAAACATAGGGATATTGGAAAATGCAAAGTTGTTTGCAAATTGACTGCAATCATTATATTAATAAGTAAACAGTACGGCTTTAGGGGTTTATATTTTGATCTACTTAGAATAATTTGGAAAACTTCCAAAATACTTTAAATGATTTTTTTTGATGTGCTATTAAAATAAAATCAAGAACTGAAACAGAAGTATACCCAAGGTTATGCAATTTATGTTCCATGTAAGGTGCATATACAAGGGTACTTCAGAAAGTTTGTGAAAAAATGGAAAAAAATACAAATCTTACCATTAACTTTTTGAAGTATCCTCTTATATATGTATATATATAGAGAGAGGTCTCATGTAAAGTGTATATATATACTTATATGTTTATATATAAAGATGTTTATATAAATGTACATACATTTATGCATATATAAACATAAAACAAAATATGTCATTACTACTTTTGATGTTTTAAAGGTTTTCTCTGGTACATGACTATAGATCCATTTTAAGATGGGTACGTATTTCTACATTATCCTATCTCTCTAGAATATAAAAAGGTAACTGAATTATAGCATTGGCTATTGCAATTTTTTTTTTTTTTTTTTTTTTTTTTTTTTTTTTTTTTAGTTTTTAACGATTTGGGGGTATATATAATATTACATATAATAATAAAATAATAAAATTTTAAAAATATATAAACCACATAAACGTACATATATAGAGAAATATCCATAAAATGTGGAGGACCAGAAAAGAAATATTACAGTAAGTAATGAAATGATTTTTTTTGAGCGCTGTAGAATACTGCATAAGTTAGTGCATATAGAAATTAGAGAAACTTTTGGGAACACTTTTGGTGTGCTGTCGTTGGGAGTGGGGGCTCCCAAAGAAAGTGTAAGCCACTCATGTTCTATGTCAAGGCCCAGAGCCCCAGGAGCCTGAAGCGTGGGACCCGCAATCCACTGGTTTCTTTTCCTCTCTCTCATTGTCTGCCGCAGAAACCCAACCTTAGAAGCGTGGCGGAATGGGGGCGGGGGGGGGGCGTCTTGGCGGGCGAAATCCTAGAAGAAATGTCCTGGGAGGATTCCCAGGCCCTCGCTCCCGGACAGCGCTCTCCCACGGCGTCGCATCTCTGGCACTGGGCTTGCGCTTCGCGGGGCCGCCTGCACCCGCGTCCCCTCGCGGAGCTCCGTCCCGGCTGCCTAGGAAGCTTCGAGTTCTCGTGGGACCAGGTGAAGCCCATCCACCCCGCGCCCTCCACTGCACACCTGGAGTTCCCTGAGCTACTCTAGGTGCGTCCTCTCTAACTCTCCGAAACTCTCAGGGCCCTAAAGGCTGGCTCAATTCCAAAGATGAGGCAGGGGTCGCTTAAATGCCGCGGGAGCCTGATACAGAACCCCAGCTGGCTCCCACGCCGGGGTGCGATCAGCCAGCCCTGGAGCCCTTTGGTGCTTAAGGTCCTTCAACTTTTGGAAGATGAACGTGAGAGCGTGGTGGAGGGGAGTTGGAGGAAGCTCCTAGGATCATGAACTCAGGGCCTTGAAATCCCAAGCGGTCTGTGAGTCCACCCGGATCGGGTCTCCAGCTTGTCTCCTCCTTAACATATTTAAAGCACTGACACCTGGGCGGGGGATTTTTATGTCGAATCAGTAGGCAAACAGTTCTTGGCCCTCAGTCGTGTTTGCCATGATCAGATTACTTTTCACAGGCTGGAGCTGTCTGGGACGTGGGGCTGTTTACTTTTAATTCTTTTATGTGTGTTCAGTTCACCTTGTGTGGAGTTGGACGTGTAAAGCGGGGAGGGGGGGGGAGTTTCCAATTCGAATGAAATTCTCATTCCATGGGTATTACCATGCCTCTGGGGTTGGCAGTTCTTAAAGTTTAGCTGGTCTGCAAATAACAGCAGAACACAATAGAGTCCTCCTCCCTTCCTCTCCTTTTTTTTTTTTTTTTTTTTTTTTTTTTTTTTTTTGCTTCCAAACGCCTTATTCGAGGCTGAAGCTGGGCAGGTCTCCAAAGGTGCAGCAGCCACAACAATCCCTCAGTTCAAAGTTAAGCAGCAGTTGCACAACTTCCAGCAACTCTCTCAGCCGGCTGCTAATGAGCTCAAAGCCAGGAACATCTGAGGAGAGGAGCAGGAAGCTTCCAGCCTTCCTCCTTTCGCCCTAGACATCCAGATACCCCCACCCCCACCCCCAGATCATTTTGAGACAAGGTCCCTGTTATTTGCTTGCCCGGCAGACCATGGCTCCCTTTGGAAGAAACTTTCTAAAGACTCGGCATAAAAACAGGTAAAGTCAAGTGTGTGTGTGTGTGTGTGTGTGTGTGTGTGTGTGTGTGTGTGTGTGTGTGTGTGTGTGTGTGTGTATTTACACTAGGGACCCTACATATAAAAGTATGTGTCTTGTTGCAGTTAGATTATGATGAAATATGCTTTTGGGGGACAAAGCCCTACGGAGTTATGTCTAATATGAATACCCAGATGGTAAGAATATTGTTCCAGGATTGATGATGACAGTGGCCAGTGCAAGGATCACAGAAAATAAATGATTGTTTTTGACTCCTTTTTCCTTCTTGACCAGTCCTGGTTCCACAATTAACATAACCAAGAATTTCTCTTTTTGTCGCCCTGTGCATTGGATGACAAGTGTCATTTTGCTTTAAACAGAAGTTTATAATATTACAGAAAGGGTTAAAATTTTGATGAAGATATGACTAGAATTTTTAGTCACTAATTAGAATGAAAAACGCATTTGCTGATACATTCCGGAAACAATGCTTTGGCTCCCCTGAGAAGGGGACATTCCTGAAACCTGGAAAGTTCCCAAAGTGAAAATACTCTGTGGAGAAACTTTGTGAACAGATTCTTTGGAAAACCTATGAGAACTTAGGTGGTTTTAAGCACTAAAAGGGGATTTAAGCAGGTGTCAGCCTTAGTCCTTATTATTACTGTTTTACTTGATTTAATTTTGGTATTTCAAGCCTGCATTGCCCATAGTATAAATAAATGTACTTAAAACACACACACACACACACACACACACACATTCTTCTTGAGCCAGTTGTGTGTTTCAGTTCTATTAAATATTTTAATTTATACCTCAAATGTTACGTTTTTATGCCAAAAAAGCGAGGATAACTTTAGACATAGGCTTTAGTTTTTTTAATATATTTGTTTTGGCATAGGGGGTTTTCCACCTCTCTTCTCTCAGTCATGCCAGTTTATACTTGTCATAATTTGCTTAGTGTAAATTTAAAAGGATACAATTACATGGTAGGAAATGATATAATTATTTTAAAGTGTCTGCATGACAATATAGAATGATACATTAAAGTAAATCTCCACACTATTTTGTGCACAAAAGTCTACTTCGAAAATTCTGTTTTTAACTCATTCTCAATGTATTCATGACTTATTTGACTAAATTCCTTAAAAAAATAAAATAACCATAATAAATTCTGTGAAACTTTCTAAACCAGTTTTATTTGCTAATAATATGGTAACATATTACAAAAATGGTATTTATGATAATTAGTGAAACTATCTGTGTTAAAATAAAGTGATAAGAGTATTTGAAAATTGTTAGTGATTGTTATCAGAAATAGGTTAGTTTTAATGGTGGCAATTTATTTTTTAAAATTCCAGAAAAGCCCCCCCCCAAAAAAAAAAAATCCTGTTTTTTAAATGATTTCTGTAGCACTATTTTTACAGCATCATGTTGGCATTTGTTTAAATGTCATAAAAACAAAAAAAAATCCTGTTTTTTTAATGATTTCTGTAGCACTATTTTTACAGCATCATGTTGGCATTTGTTTAAATGTCATAAAAATATATTTTTAAAAAATTACTTTGGAAAAGTATATGGTTTTATAAAGCAAGTTGTGTTTGTGTCATACAAACCCTGTAGTTAGAGTTTGCTTGTTTGTTTGTTTTGTCTTGTTTAGTAATTAAAGAATTCTGTTATTGTTCCACCAAATAACACTGCAGTAAAACTTTGCATGCACCCCTGTGAGTTTCCCTGAGGGAAGTATATTCTCCACTTCTGTTCATCAGTTTTGCCACTTGCACCGTCCACTCTACCCATAAAACTAGCTTTCATTCAAGGTGGTGAATATACGAACATTTTTTTAATACGCCATTTTTGTGAAAAATTATGAAAAGATGGAAAGAACAATGAAAAAAAAAAGGAGTTTAATAGTGTTTCAAGTTTCTCTGAGAAAATGGAATGCTGTTCCTGAAGGTGATGATTTATTATGAATGCGAGTGTTTTGACAATGGTAGTAATAGTAAGGGTAAGTTGCTCCAATGATTTAGTGCTTCCCTTTATAAATTTGTATTTTTCTGATTCTTAAGTAAAATTTAAATCACAGAAGTGGCTGAGGACTTAAAAGTATGGGTATTACAAATTAGGCAGTGAATAAATCACGTGGTGTATTAAAATAGAATTAATGTATTTTGTTCAGTTACTTATTATTGCTTTAAATGAGGTCTTTCATTTTGTCTTCCTTTATGTTTTGTTTTTGTTTTTTGTTTGTTTTTACCTTCTCAGAGGTCAAACTACAGGTGAAAATTAGTGACTTGAGTATGTTTACCTTTTCATTTATCAGGTTCTATAATGGTTTGAATAATCCTATTTTCACATACAGAAAACAAATGTCTTTTTTGAAATGAGTGATTCATCCTTTTACAGAAAATGTGATTGATGGTAAGATAGTTACCTGATAAGAGTCAATACTTCCCTCAAATATATAAGAAAATTCCTCGTAGAAGGTAATGGATGAACTTGAGTTATACATTTGTAAGCCTTGTGATTTGTAACTTAACAAAAAGAACTACTTGAGCATAATTTCATCTTTATCAGCAGAAAAAAATACGAATTGCTAGAAGGAATACTGAGAATTTGAGATAATAAAATTTTGAAATAGTTGGTTCAGTAAATTTTTTTGCATGCTAGTCTCTGACTATCTTTTCATTTTTTTGTTCACTCTTGGGGAGATATTTAATCACCCAAGATTGAACCTCATGAGATAGTTAGTTCTGGAATTTTTCTCATAACAAATGGATATTTGAGAGTTTTAGAGACTAATGGGATGCAAATGAAACCTCAAAGTATGAGGCATAAAAACTTTTAGAAAACACAATCTATAAAGTTGGAGAGGGCGGGGCTTTATCTGTCTAGACACCATTATGTCTTCCTGCCTAGGAAAGTGCCTGGCATGTGGTGGACCTGCAATATAGTTCTTTATTTAATCTTGTGAGCTAAAAATTTTAATTTGTACTCAAACTAGAAACATACTGATTATTTTATTCTCTATTTATCATGTGATGCCAGATGGTATTATGTAAAAGTGAATATTTTTTAAAGGATTGGTTGACATTTGATATAATCCAAAACCTAAGGAGATGAATAATTATGTTAATTTGAACACCAAACTAATCCTACACTATCAGATTTTTTTTCTAAATTTTAGGAAGCATTTAATTTAAATATTTAGGAATGATCTTCAAGAACTTTGAGAAAAAGACATGGCCACAAAATAATTATATTTGAGCATACAAATATTTTAGGCTTTTTATTTCATACTTTCACATAAATCTAAAGTTCTTTATGCCTACAAACAGAGTTAATCTTTTTAAATTTTCTAATTGTAGTAATGTTTATTTATTTATTTTTAGAGATGACCGGTAAGGGGATCTTAACCCTTGACTTGTTGTCAGCAATATGCTCTCCCAAGTGGGCTAACTGGCCATCTTTATATAGTGATCTGAAACCGTGGCCTTTGTGTTATCAGCACCACACTCTCCCATGTGAGCCATGGGCCGGCCCTGTAATGTTTAAATGGAAGACTACAGTTTTCAGAGGTCCTTTTGGTTTTAGGAGATGGATGATTTACTTTGCTTTCAGAATAATTGAATGTTTGTGATTAAATCCCCAAAATTGATGTATATCTTCTTAGTCAGATTTTTGTTCAACATGAATAAATAAGTTGAACAGCCTAGATACTTTTCAACAAACTATTGAATCAAATATTTAAGTTTCTAAAAATGTTTTCTAAAAGTCACTAAGCAGTCATTATTTCTCACATAAAAGCCAAGGAATTAAATAATGAAACACTGATTCATTTGATATTCATATGGACATTCAGTAATTAAATTTAGATTATCAGCCTTTTTAGGTATTCACATAGGTTTCATTTGTACATATGACTATCTTTTTAAGGTATATTTTAACTAACGATTATTTTAAAAGTTAATGTGTTAAAATAGCAATCAGGAACTTTTCTAAAAGTTCAGAAAACTGGAATGTAACTATAAAGCTTTTTGGAATACTTGGTTGTTAGACATGACTTCTTGTTATTTTAATTAATAAAATTTAGAGTAGAGAATTGGTTGGAACTTTTATTAGACCTTGCTAGAAGCAAAAAAAATGCCATAGTACAGCAGTGTTCTATATATTTGTCAGAAGTATGAAGTCAGAATAGTTCATGTAGGTGAATTGTAAGATGAAAGGAAATTAATGGATGAAAAAATGATCTAGTCCAGTTTAAAAGGCCTTTATTATTATTATGTACTATTTGTTTTTTCTTGACTTTCCCTTGACTTCTCGTAAAAATATAGGTGTATGTCTAGCTATCACAATATGTACAAGACGTCCTTGAATTATTAACTAACCTAAAATTAAAAGGCTCCAAAATAAGTACTTTTAACAAAGATATTAGATGTATTACAGTTCTATTATTTTATAATTGTGCATAAAATTTGCACTAAAATTTACTTTTGAATCAAATTAGAACATATCTGGCCAATTTTTTAAAAACCAGATACATTATATTGAAGCCATAAGTAAATCATGCAATGACTGCTTCATCAGAAGGAAGCACTAAGTTCTGTGATTATGGTGAAAGATACTGGCAAGAAGAGTGTTTTCTCTCTATAATTAGAAGTACGGCAATTTATGAATTCTGCAAAGTGGAAAATTATCATGTACTATTTTGTGTATCCTTACAAAAAGATTTAAAATGTTCCCAAAATTGGATTGAGAAATGCCAGATATTTGAGTATGTAAATGTTCATAGTTCTCAGAAGTTCCTGAAAGAGATTTTTCCTAATGATTCCTGATAATTTAAGTAGTCATTAATTGGCAGCAAATAGCCCATTAGGAACAATGACTGGAATGCTTTCTCCCTGGCAAAAATACTCTGAGAGCATTGGCAGGGATGAAATTGAGCTCCAGATTAAAACCTGAATTGTCACACACAAAATAACCTAAGCCGGCCTAAATTCTACTAC